TAAAAACATGATCCTTGAGAACAGGGACCCTGTCTTATTTACTGAAACACTTTATCTGGAGCCTGAACAGAGAAGACATTATTGTTGAATGGATGTTTGTCCAGGAATTTTTTTTAAGAAACTGGAGAAAAGTTAATTTAGATTTGTCTTTTTAATTAAAATGTTAAAACTGCAAACTCTCTTTTAAATAATATAACTTTTTAACCCTGGAAATGAGAGATATATCTGAGACTGGAAGCAAAAGGAATTATATATAATTATGATCTAACTGATAAAATTTTCTCAACTATTTTAGGCTAGCAACTCTTTAGCTGCTAAAATGTATACTGGAATTGAACAGTTAAGTCAATGGATGGTGGTTGGTGAGAGTCATCTTCCTCACTGTTGGAGTGGGAGACCTAGACATCAATATGAACTTATATTTGACTTACTATAGCCAGACAGGGCTAGAGTTTGGATCTGGACTGTTCCCAAAAAGCCCATGTATTAAAGGTTTTGACCCCCAGCAAGGTGCTATTAAGAGATGGTGGAACCTTAAAGAGATGCCTAGTAGGAGATTCTAGGTCATTGGAGGCATGCCTTCAAAGTCTCTTTGCTTCCTCCATGAGGTAAGCAGTTTCACCACATACTCTTGCCAAGATGTGCTGCTCTGCCACAAGCCCCAAAGTAACAGGGCCAACTATTGCTGTCAGTTGAGAAAGCCTAGAAGCAATGGTACCCCAATAGCAATGAGAACATCTAGTGCCCAGAACTTGGTTTTTAACCAAAGATGAACCAAGTCTCCTTAGAGAAGTGGCTGATCCTAAGACTTGGGCAAAAAGTAAACAAAATGAACCTACTACACTCTACAGTGCCAAAAAGTAAGGATGTGCTCAAAAGAAAACATTGAGGCAAAGGGAGCAGGAGCTAACTTGAAAGAGCTTTTAATGGCCAATGCTAGAACAATTTGAGGGGGCAAAAAGCATTAAATAAACAAATGTATAAAGTTAGTTTCCATGAGTCCATACATAATCAAATATACTTGATACTTGAACAAAACACAGCTTAACTCCCTACTCCTTAAGTGATGTCCTCTCAAAGAGCTCAATAAGAAAAAGGAGAACAGGAAAGTCTTAGTGGAGAAACCTGATGAACACTACTTAAACTTGAAAACATTATGTTTCTGGTATGTAGCCTCAAAATAATGTGATGAAAACAGCACTTCACCTCCGTGTTTTCACCCCAAACCCACAGTCCCAATTTAATCATTAGAAGAACATAGACAAATCCCAGTTGAGGGACATGAGAAACTACCTGACCAGTATTCCTCAAAACTGTCAAGGTCAACAAAAGCAACAAAAGTCTGAGGAATTGTCACAGCCAAGAGGAGTCTAAGGGTACTTGATGACTAAGTGGTATTATGGGGAGAATCCTGAACAGAAATTGGATACTAGGTAAAAACTAAGGAAATAGTTTAGAGTATAGAGTTTAGTTGATTTTAATTCCTTTTGACAAATAATCCATACTATGTTAATATAAAAACTGGGTTTGAGATATAGAAAAACTCCTAGGAATTTTATTATTAAAAAAGTTAAAGAATTATAAAGCAAGGCAGCATGGACATAATAGAAGTTATAGGTGTAGTGTTTTTATATTTTTAAAAAATATTGTCTTCTATGACTGGTAGAGTATTTTACAGTTTCTTAAAGGTTTAACTATGAGTCAAACAAATATCAATGTTTTAGTTCAAACTACCACAAAGATAAAAAAAAAAAAAAACTTCACAGGAGGAAAAAAGATTTTTATTTGCTTATTAGGCTCATTAGACTTACTTTTTAAAAATGAAACTGAATAGTTTAGTTAAATCTGAGCTGTTAACAGCTGCCAATTGCTCTTAGACTTAAATTCAAAGTACTCACCATGGATGGTCATGGATGGTCATCTAAGTGTCTACATAATGTGGCTTCCACCTGACTTCTCCAACTTCAGTTAATACCATCCTTCCCTGTTTTCACTGACTTGGGCCACACCAGTCTTTCTGTTTCGAAAAATCTATTCAGGGCTTCCACATCTTGTCTGGTCTGGTGTCTGTCACCTACTCACTGAGCAGCAAATTACCCTCAACACTTAACTGGCTTAATCTTCGTTTTAGTTACCCCTGATTCCGTGAATCATCAGAGACTGATCTCACCTGGACAGTGATGCAGCCAGTCAACTTGCAGCTAGACTGGAGACTGGTGACTAGTGGTCACATGTCTGGTGGTTAGTGCTGGCTGTTGGCTGGGCCACATATTTCCAGTTGGGCAAGCCTGGGCTTTTTCACCTAGTTGCAGCAGGGGTCCAAATGTGAAAGTATGAGTACTCATTTGACCAAAGAGAGTTATGGCCTGTCCATACACAAGTGGTAGGAAATAGACTCCACCTTTGAAAGGAGGAATGGAACAAAGCAGGATATGCAACCATCTAAAACTGACCACGTGAATGATGCTTTTCCTGGAAGTTTCCATAGCTGTCCCTCAGCCATTCTCCCCTTAATGTGTCTTCTCCTCCAAGAAACCTTTTCTAACCACAATATTCACAGCAGCTCCTCACCCTACCTTCCTTAACCCTCACCATTTCATGGCCCTGTTTTATTATTTTCTTTCCATCATTACAATTATCCATTATTTCACTGTTCACTTGTTTGCTTTCTCCATGAGAATAGAAACTTAATCTGCCTTGTTCACTGCTAATATCTTGAACAGTAGGCACTTAAAATACGTAGGCAATTCACATTTTTATTTTTTATTCTAAAAGATAATCAAATTATTAAAAATTATAAGAGTATAGCACTTTAGTTAGTAAACTGCACTTAATAATCTAAATGGATTTTGTTTCTTCAGTCCATACAAAAGAATGAAAGATCTACTTTTTAAGACCCAAAACAGAAAATTACCTGAGATTTTTCCAAGTTTCTTTAGAGCTTTAGTCTTCATATATAACAACACTGATACCAGTTTAAAAGTCAGTGGTTTTCATTTTTTAGGTCACCACAACACAATCTCTTACTTGAATCTCTGGTTTGCCCCATTTTGATAGGAAAACTTATTACATGGGAAGGTTTGGGAACTTCTTTCTCTTTCAGGGCATAGTGGCAATCAACACATCAGTCTCTATAGCACCATGATATCCCCCAAAACCTGACTACTCTAAGCTTCCACTTAGAGAAGGTTATACAATAAAAAAACAACACTTTCCATTTAGTTTACTCAAATGAAGATGAGTCACTATTTTTTCATTTTATTTTTTATGAATGACAGATCTACTCAAGATAGTTTTACTCAGTTTATTTAAATAATAAGGCTACTTAAAAGACTTTTTACATACAAAAATGTACATAACAAGGTCAAACTTTTCTGTACTGAATTACAAAACTTGCACAAGCATTTAATAAAAGAGCACACTTAAAAACATTTTGACCATTTGGTAGCCTCTAAAAATTACTGAAGTTCCACAGTAGTAAATAGAGGAAGCTCTTACATACATATATGATTTACTCTACTGGCAGTTTTACTTAATGTAAGTTTTTTAAAAGTCATTGCTATTGAATGAGTCTCTAGATCAGTTTTAGAATTATCTCTCAAAACTTAAGTCAATCAAAATATTATTTCAAATAAAAATTTCAATTCTGAAGAATTTTAACACTAGCAAATATAGCCTCATAGTAGTAGTAGCAAACCAACTTTCCAAGGCGCCTGGTAGCTGTCTAGATTAATAAGGCTAGTTTGGAAAACTGTAGTGCCTTTACAACCACTAGGAAGCAAGTTAGTGCCCTGGAGCTGCAGGGTCTCGAGACTGCAGAATTCACATGCAGTCTATGATCCCTTAAGTGCAAAAGGACTGGGGTCAGCCTATCTTTGCCCCTTAGTGAACAGGTAGGGCTAAGCAATATGACTTGCAAAATAAGCCTAAAGCTTAGGATCTCAGAAAGGACATGAATGGAAGAAAGAAACCATTTGGGACAGAAGAGCAGAAGAAAACAGGGAACAAAATGAGAGAGGGGGAAAAAAACAGCAAGGCCCACCTGCTGATGGCAGAAGTGGTGCCTCTTACCATACCTCTCAAGGCACCCATTGACTCCAATGCCATTAGTTTGCCTAACCCAACAATAAAATCTGGCTTTGTTGGAATACAGAATCAAAAGCAACACTATCAACCCACCATAGCAAGTAAAAATTATTCTAAAGTTGTACACCATTCAAATCAAGTCYTCCTAAACTGTTAAGCAAACCAAAATATCACTTCAAAATTAGACTCCCAGTGCTGCTGGCTCCTGATTCCCAGCATTCGGCAAGCTTCGTTATGTGGAGAAAGTCATTTTGAGACAAGCTCTATCCATATACCTTCAGATGGCACAGCGCTCTAAGATGGTGGGAGTATGTAATACATAGGGCATGGTTTAGCACTTCACCTTTCAAACTCAAAATAGCTCAATAATATGCTGCTATATGAGCACTGATTCTGAATGTTCATAATATAAACTTCAATTTGAAGCAACAATGTTACACAGTTCAGCTGTTATTACCAACCTACTCTGTAAGTTAAATATACAAATTAAAAATTAATTTCACTGAGTAACTAAAAAAAAGTTCCCACTGACTTAAAATCGTCAAATGGCTAACTCTCTTAACTAAGAGAGAAATACAGGTGGAGGCAGAGGGGACAACTGAATAGAAAATATAATTTGTCATTCTACCCTAAAATCTGTACTTTAAATCTCCCTTAATATATATTTACGCATAGGATCACAGTTCCCAATAATATATATATGTATGTATATGTATATATCAGCCCTGCAGATAATAATATATTCAAAAATTTACTGTAACATCAACAATTTATGCCACACTTAGTACATATCAATTTTGTCTTACACGTACAGATTTGCAGTCTGGAGTAAAGGCAGAATGGTTAAAACTATAGAATTAAAGTCTTAGTACAGTACTTACCTGCAAGGCTGAATTAGTTTTTTTGTAAGGCTATTTAATAGCTGAACTAAAATGCTTGGTTTAACAAATCAAGAGTAATGAGGCTCCTCTAAAAGCATATTGAAAAAGGTAAACCCCAATTTGAAGATCAATCATACAAGGAAAAAAAGCGCAAAGTAACCTTTGCTCTTGGTTAGAAATATATAGCAAAAAAGTAGACACCTGAATCCATGAACATGACATAAACCTATTTTCTCACTGTCTTTCATTACACAATTGGAGTGATACTACTCAAACAAAAATTAAAACAAAAAACAACAACAAAAGAAACTTGTAGATTCTGCATGGGACAGCCATATTATACTACATGCAGCCCATCCAGCTAGGAGCCCATTTTTCCTGTGCTGCACTCTACAGTGAATTCTGCCGTCAATAGCCCCTACACTGCCTACTCCAGAGCACACTGATCCCCCCCCACCCTTATTGCCTTACTTTCTGGACTCTCCTAAGTTCTAGAATTTTATGCCCCTCCCTATTCTCTAAACATTTTCCCATCAAGTACCACCTCTAACATGATTATTCAGCCTACAGATTTTTAAATGAACTTAATTTTAAAAAGATTAAGCTCCCAGGAGGAAGTAATGGCTGAACTCACAGAGTGAGATCATTGACTGATTATGAAAAGAGTAGGCAGGACTGTTGCATGATAAGAACATTCTAAGGGATGGACCGACCAGTCAGCTTATAATCAATCAATTCTATTATGCTTCAAGGGAAGAAGCAATAGCAAGTACTGACTTCCCTTTTGATTTTTATGGGAAGAAGCAATGTAACAACTGAAGAACAGCTATTTTATTTGTATATATGAAATAGTTTCCAACAGTACCACCAAGATTCTTTTCTTAGTGAATCCTTGAGGACAAGTGAGGTAATATTTACTAAAATACTGTAATGAATTGTTATATGCTTCAGCTTGGGAAAAGAAATTAATAAAAATGATAAATCAATATATGAATTAAAAAAAAATCCTCAAATGTCCCCAAAGACTCTTAAAGAGACTAATGAGAACAATTTTTAAAAGTCATTAGATGCTTTGTGCCAGATTTGCAGCTAATAATCTGACCAGGGTCAACATAAATGACACATATTAAGCCATTATTTTAAAAAAGAAATTCTTTCATAATCAGGATATGAAAGACAAATTTTAAAAAGGAAGGAAGGGATAAAAGGTGAGAAAGAATGACTATTTTTTTTAACCTGTTTTGAACCTCTTAGGAAAATTCCACAATAATCAGGATTTTTGTAAATAGTGTCAATATATGTGAACTTGTTTGAAAAACTACAATTACAGTTATATTTACATTTTTGGAAACTTCCCTTCACGGCCATGTAACATGTTGTATCTTCCTCTTCGTTTCTGGGGGCTTCAGGTTATTCTAAAAAGACATGAACAGAAACCAATTGATACCTACAGAAATGTCTCAGAACAGCTAAAGAAACACTAAAGCACCAAGGGTTATTAAGGTACTAATGGAAGGTCGCTGCTGCCATCTGGTGGGAATGTAGCTCAAGACATTAGGAAAAAATAGGTCTCCAAGACTATGGTTTTCCAATGTTTGCACATCAGAATAACCAAGAGCACTTAAAAATATGCCTAAGCATGATCCTTATCTCAAAACCAATGAATCCATCAAGGTAGAGATGAGGCTCTCACTTCTTTCATTTTTTTGGTAGCTCCTTAGGTGATCCCAATAAGGCAGAGCTGAGAACCACTGACAGCTAGTCCAGACCCACTTCCTCCTTGCCTAGTCAATGTCCTCCCCAACTTCAGAGTTCAAAAGCAGTGGGAAACATGAATAATTCAAGAAAACATTTATCATTTAAAGCTACCTCATACCTCTGAAAGAGGAAAATTCCTTTGGATAAGAGCCTGGGGAAAAAAAATCCTCAAGGCTCACTCCTTACTGCACGATTTACTCTTCCAATTCTCACCCCACACCCTCCTCCTCTCCCACAAATGTGGGTAAATAAGTAAGGAAGCAGCTTGGTGTCCTAAGCATGGGCCTTGGGATCAAGCAGACCTGGGGTCAAATTGCAGTTTGCCCACTTTCTAACTCTGGAACCCTGGACAAGTTTATTTAAATTCTCTAAACTTCTGTATCCTTGACTGTGAAAAGGGGATAACAACAGTGCTTACTTCACGGGATTGCTGACAAGATTCAATGAATAAGTAAATGCTGGTTAAGTAACTTTCTTTTTCCAGGGTCTATATTTCAGAATATCTAAACTATTCTTGAGTTTCAATCCCTCTGACATTAGAAGATGATAATAAAGCCAAAGTATACTACAGGAATAATAGCTATAAAACTGCTAGGTGTTTAAAAGATAAAATCACTTTTCTGAGGAGTCTAAGGAAAGACAATGAGAGCACACATGACAGATTCTCCCAAACTTCCTAACTGTCCAAAGTTAGATACACTTGAGGGGTAGGGAAAACCATTAGGAATTATAAAGAGATTCTTATGTGATTTCAAGGTAAGTACAAACAGACCTGAGGTCAGGGTCCAAATGCTATTTAACAAATATATTACCCTGGATAAATTACTTAGCATTCTGAGCTTTACTAATAAAGGAGTACTCTCTCCTTTTAGTTCCAAGATAGTGAAAAAACTGATGAGAAAAATCTAGAAAAAGTGCCTAATGCTCTCCATATATACCTTTTAAACAAATAAATTGAAGGAACCTTTAAAAATACTAGATTTAAAAATAAGGCATATAATAATAACTTTAAAAAATAACAATGGATTTTAAAACTCCCGGGTTCCAACATATAAGTGATGAGATAGGAAAATAGGACAGGAGATAAAGGGTTCAAGAGGATCAAGCAGCATCAGTGGGCTAGTAAGGCTATAAAGGAACTGCTCAGGCTTTGGTCACACCCCTTACTGACACAGAAACCACCCCATACTTACTGCAGCCTCTGTTTCTTCTTTAGGAGCAGCTCGCTTTAACTTCACAGGAGTAGTTCCAACAGGGGACAAAGGTGGTGACTTCATAGTGCCTGAAGGACTTTTTCTATGCATTAAGTCATGGTTCTGCTTAGTGTCATTATTATTGTGTTCCGATTTATTGTTCGTAGGCAAATTGGAAGACAAAATTAGGGGTGAAACACTTGAAGAGGAATTTGATAATTTTCGAAAGGCATTACGATCATTGTCTCCATTCTCTGTCTTTCTTACTTTTATGCTTGTACTTGTTGAGCTTCCATCAAATACAATGAGAGGCCTTTTCCTTAACCCATCTACAGTGCTACTCCTGAAATCAAAGAGAAGCGCTTTTGAAAAATACTATGTGGGATGGCAAACCAGTTCACTGGAATTCAAAGTTAAAAATAAATAAATAAATAACCAACAAGACTACTGATAAGACAAATGTATGTGGGACTACTGGAAATGAAATTTTGTATTCACTCTAAAAAATAATTTTATAGTGCTCTGTTTTAAAGCATTAAGTATTTCAAGAAATTCAGTTAGATTTAACAAATACAAAAGATGCAGCTATTTTTAAAACAACAATTAAACATCTAACACTAGCCCTTAAAACAGAATTTCCAAACAAATTACTGACAAAGTTATATTGACCACATAACTGCAATGCTATTATTTCAAAAGCTATATGAAGACTACCACAATGGCACCCCACAAACAATGAAGAACATTCTTATTCCTGTTACTAAGCCTGTAGGGCCACAGTAATATTTGTACAATTTTAATCATAAGCTTTGGCAAGAGTCTTCATGTTTTGCTTTTCAAAATCTAATTTATATTTTATTTTATTAAACATTTTTTTAGTTGTCAGTAGACCTTTATTTTATTTTATGTGGTGCTGAGAATCAAACCCAGGGCCTCACACATGCTAGGCAAGTGCTCTACTGCTGAGCCACAACCCCAGCCCTCTAATTTACATTTTAATAGTAAAGGTAAATGCACTTATTTAACTCGCATTATATAGCAGATTTATTTAATAAAAAAAAAAACCTTAAATATGTTAAAAGAAATTGAGCAGTGAGTTACCAGCAAAACTCTTTAACTTCCCCAAAGTGCTATTCAAGGATCCACAACATGAGTGCCATCTTGGGAGCTTATAAGAAACACAGAATCCAGGGACTCACACTGAACTACTGAATAAGTCTTAAAATCAGTATTTTAATGAGATTCCTAGGTAAATGGCCACTCACCAATCCTTAGGTCACCATTCAGTTTCATTTTGTAGATGATGGAAAAATAAGTTCAGTGTTTGCTCAATGCCATTATAGAAAAGAAAGAGAGGGAGAGCAGGATTCATCAGCATTGGGACATTCAACCTAAGATTCAAGGGGCACACTGAAGTTGGAGAAGCTTGGCACCAGGGAGCTAGTTCTAGCTGTGCGTGACCTTAGGATGCCATAGTACTTCTCTGTATCTCTGTCAAGGGCCACGTGTATGCTGCTTGACATTGCAAGATCTCTCTTAGAGCTTTCCAATTTCAATGCTTACTGAGTCAAGAATGACTATAAATTTTTAAGATAGAGCCAAAGATCATTTCCAAAATGACACTGCAGGATTATCATGTGTTGCTTTGAAGGGAAGTGTAACCAATGTTTACTAGGACAATGTGCCTGTAAGAGCTGATGAAGCAGAAAATACTGTCTGAATATCAAGTAAAAAAAGAAAAAAGCAAATTAAAAGGTATATGCCATGTAACCCATAGCTGGCAGAAGCTAACACTAGTGCAACTTGTACTTAATGTAATCATCAAGCTAACACGATGCTTAATCTGAACTAGTTCCTGATCAAAGTTGAGACTGTATGTACATTTATTTATGTATTTATTTACAATTAGGTAGAGGAGATTGAACTCAAGGCCTTGCACATTGAGTTGCACATTGAGTCAGGCCACTGAGCTACACCCCAAGTCCTTACATGCAGTTATTTTTCAAAATGACTATGAGCATATGTGTCCTTAAAGTATTCTCATGCTTGGGGAATAATCTCAATCATGAGTTTTTCTTGGCAATCAGATTAAAACCACTAATCAACTCAGAACTACATATTCCTTCTCACCCCAGCCCTCCTACTCTGTCATCTCCCACTGCATCACCCATGACAATAATATAACAATAACACCCACTGGTGATAACACAGTCACAGGGGAAGATCATTTGGGGATCTTAGAACACTTTGTTCACACTAAGTAGCCACTGATGTTGGTCACTCAAATGTAATTTTCTTTAAAAGGGGGAAAGTCATTGGCTTGTGAATTTCATAATTTTTTTTTCCTGAAATTTAAAAATCTTAAACAATGTACCAGAAATGAGATGGCATTCTTTGCTTCTACACTGTTCAAAGACCTTAGGATATTACTTGACTGGTCTTTTTTGCTCAAAATTTAGAAATCCTGTTGGTTCTACCTTCTAAATACATTCAGATCCTAGCCTACCCAATCACTACCTTAGTTAAAGCTACTGCCATTGTTAAAATTACAGTGCAGATTCCTATTTGGCAACTTCTACCCCTATAACTGCTCCATCTTAAATCACTTTATAGTACAGGAGCCAGAGTGGTCTGGTTAAAATGTCACTTGATAGGGTTATCCCTGTCACTGGCTCAAAATCCTATAGTGGTTTCTCATCTCTGAGTAAAGTCAAGTCTTATAAGTTTTCCATAATTTGACAATCTTCCCCGTCGTCCCTAATACACCTCTTGCCTCCTACTCTCTCTGCTCCAGGCTTATGGACACTTTGCTGCTCCTGGACACATTTCCAATGCAGGGTCTTATATTCTGCTGGAATGCTAGCTTGCTCCGTACTTCCTACTGAAATGTCATTTTGCCAAAATTACAATTCCTCTTCCTGTTTTACCTTTCTCTTAGGATGTGTCACTATGTAACATACCACACACTAAACTTTTATTATTATGTTTCTCCCAATTGATACGTGGGTAGGGAATTTTATGTTTTACTCACTGCCACAAAGCACAGTGCCTGGTGTTCAATGAATTGTTTTATTCAATATTTATTTATTTATTGAAATAGATTTTTTTTAAAAAACTTCAAGTTTACCTGAGGTAAAACCAAAATTGTTTAGGTATATAAGATAAAACGAAAACCAGAACCACTAAAAAAGTACCTTTTTGGCTCATTTTTTATCTCATGTTGTTCTCTTTTCTTTTCCATCATTTTCCCCCATCTATTCTTTGGCAATTCCCTCTGAGGCAACGGTATGGCATGCTGAACATAAAGATCAGTAAGATTGTCTTTGTTTACTCTTATGTCATTTTCAACAGTTATGTTCTTCTGTGGAAAAGGAAACAAAAGTAATTTCAAAACATCTTTCATTTTAATAAGTAACTTAYTAATATAGCAAAACATTATTTCTTAAATAACAAATTACAAAACCATTTTCAGAATGACATACTAACTGCAAAGTCCCATAAGTTTCTTCTAGAGGTGATACTATTGATAGGTTAAGCCCTGGAAATATTAGGTTCAGCCTTATCTGAAAAACAATGGTCACATGTCCACAGTGTGACATGGACTGCTGCCCACAACTCCAGCCAAAACTCCAGGCATCAAGATCATTTCCAGAACATCATCTTAATCTATAAAAGGGACTGAAAATGAGGGACTTCCTGGGAGAAACAGACAAAAGAAAGCTAATGATTTCTACATTTCTGTCAATAAACTAACCTGAATGTTATTATTATGATCTTCAGATGGGTGAGATGGAGGCCCCTCACCCTGTTATTTTTCACATTTCTCTGTTGTAGTGTTTTTGTTGTTGTTCTGAAGATTGAACTCAGGGCCTAGCACATGTTACTCAGTCCCTGTAGTACTTCTTTAATTGAGGTTAACTACGAAGACTTAATATAGCAGTGCAGAAGGAAACTACATTCCCCTCACTGATGACAGTAGCCGTATATCAAGTAGCTTACAGTCAATGCTCAACCATCCCTATCTAAATAACCTCATTCTCCCTCACTTTTCAATTTGTCCTTGACATCAAGGAAAACATACAGCATAAGCAAAGGAATAGTTATGAAGGCAATTTCGATTTAAGAAGGAAAAATGAGAATGAAAATAAGATAATTAGTTCTTCAACTGCAATTCAGAAAGGCTGGAAAACATCTGTTTTGTAAAACCTGACAAAACAAGTCAATATGGTATAATGAACTTAATTTTTTTAAAAAATTAAAAGCATAATTTTACTTCTTTCCCTTGTATAGTGACCTACTGCAATTTTAACTCTGCATTCGCTTAGAAGTGGGGGAAAGTCTGGTGATTCTCTTGGACAACATGTCCAGGGGCTTTATAGGCTTTGGGAAACACTGGATATGGACAATGATTCTCAAAGTGCAGTCCTTGGACGGGAAGGAAGAAAGAATGCAAAATTTCAGGCCACATCTCAAACCTAATGAAAGTGAAACTGAATGGAGCTCAGCAATGTGTGTATTAAACCTTTGGATGATTCTGATGTACTTAGAAGTTTGAAAACCACAGGTAAAAGGTCATTTCACCCCAAAATGTGTTTACCAGGAGAACTTGAGGCAACTAGACAAAATTAGGAGACTAAGGAAAATCCATGTGGAAAACAACAAAAAACCACATAAATCTCTCAGGAAACTTTCAGTAATCCTCACTTCAAATAAATCGAGTCACTTTTTAAAATTTTTTCTTTCCGCCTATCAGAAGCCACAGCAGCCCAAAACGAGTCAAGTACTGCAGGGAGACCCGGGAGTCTTGAATTCTCCTGCCAACTGTACTGCTTACAGAGAGTGGGACCTTAAATAACCACTTCATCTCTTGGGGACTATTTCAGCCTTCTGAAACGAGATGAGACGGTGTGCAAAAGGACGATTTCTCGGATGCTTTCCAGTTCCGAGATTTCACCCTCCGCGTCTCTTCGCTTTCGCTCAGGCCGCGGGGTACCTGCGACTCCTCCCTCCGAGCCTTTGTGGCTCCTGACAGATAAGTTCTATTTCTTAGGAACTCCTGATACTCTAGAGCCGTCTTTTTTTCCGGATGGGGGCGAGGGAAGACCTGTCTGGTCTGTGTGCACTGAGAGTGGCCCAAACCCCACCGGAGGAGCGACCGCTGCGGGAAGGCCCGCCGTCACCGGGGTTGCTTGGGGCCAGCTCAGCCGCGAGCCTCTCCCGGGCAGGCCCACCCACCCGCCCGTCCTCCGCCCCGCGCGGCCGACCTGCTCCAAGGTAAGGAGGAGGAACTCCTGGGATAATAGCTCCGGGTGCAGCAGCAGCTCCGAGTCCGTGCAGCTGCGACMGCCCACATCCCCCGCCATCGTCGTCGCCAGGAGACCCCTGGCCGGCTACCCACAAGGCTCCGCGAGAGAAGCGTCCCGGAAGTGACGTGTAGGGGCGGAGACTTGCGCGTGTCGTCACTCTGACTGCGTCGGGAGCCCGCCACTACCTACGCTGACAGGTAGGGTGTGGGGCCTGGCGCCTCCCGGCAGAAGCTCCCGGGAAACCGGGCAAAGAAAGGGATGCCAGACCCAGAAACAAATGGCACGTCGAGTCTTGCAGGAAGCTGGGGGGAAGCGAAGTTCACCGAGCCGGACACGATTGGTTGCGCCTCCCGTGACGTCCGGTGGCAGAGGCTAAAGGGATTCTCAAGGAATCAGGCCGAGAGGGCAAATACACCGTGCCCCAAATACGACACGTCCGAAGTTGTGTTTTTTTCCTTTTTTTTTTTTTAATTCAACTTGTCATTTGTCTCTTAATCGTCCTCTAAACAATGTTAGTCCAATAATGCCGGATACTATTTCATTGATTCCCTGTAACCCCAGCGCCTCGGATTTAATAAGCCCTCAAGTGTTTGATGATCTGAATTAACCAGCGCTGAGAATAATGACCCGCTGAGAAGCGCCGGTAGAGGCAACCAAACGTTTGTTAGTACTATATGCCTGCTGTTGCATTTTACATGGATTATCCGAATCCTCTCTACAGTCTTGTGAGGCATGTATTTCTAAATGGCCTTTTTTTAAAAAAATTTCAGGCGAGGAAACTGARGCACAGAAAGGATAATTTGTGGGCTGGGGTTGTGGCTCAGTGGTAGAGCGTTGCCTAGCACGTGTGAGGTACTGGGTTCGATCCTCCAGCACCACATTAAAAAAAAAAAATGAAGTTGTGTCCACGCACAACTAAAATATATATTTTTTTTTCTTAAAGGATAATTTGCTCAAGATCACAGACTGAGCATGCAGCAAGACTAAGATTAAAGTAAATTTCCTCTACACTTAACTATAATGAATTAACAGTTTTTAGTTTAAACGGATTATATATGTCAAATATGGTCTAATTAATTGACTAAAAACTCTCCCAATATATGCACATTTATGACTTAACATTTGCAAACATGTTCTGAGTGCTTACTTGCATCCTCTTTGATGTATCATTTTATTGGAAATTTTTCTTGCACAAAAATGTGAACAACTCTGAGGATGCCAAAAAGATAAACCTGTAAAGAGTACTAAAAAATAAATGGGCCATAAAGCAAAACAACAAAATAAAACTGAAAGATGATTCTAAGGTTTTCTGAGTCATTTATGTCTGCGTACTTTATGTATAAAAACTGAATTTTCGGAGCTGAGATTAAATTTAAAAATTACTCAGTCTTAAAAAAAAAAAAAAAGCCTAGTTCTTCCATTTTAGTGCAGAGGAAACTAATCTGGAAAAAAAAAAAAAAAGATTTTCAGTGACTTGCACCAAATTGACCAGAGTCTTAAAACTGTGCTGAATGTCCTTAAGTGTGTTAGCTTCATGGTATTGACATCAAGACATTCCATATCCAAAATCTGGTTTGATAGTTTTATAACAATAGTGAGCTGGATGTGGTGGCAAACATCATAATCCCAGGGGCTCAAAAGGCTGAGGGAGGAGAATCACAAGTTCAAAGCCAGTCTCAGCAATTTATCGAGGCCCTAAACAACTTAGTGAGACCCTGTCTCAAAATTAAGAACGAAATAAATAAAAAGGTCTGGAGCTGTGACTCAGTAGTTAAGTGCCCTGGTAACAACAACAATAATGAAATTGGCATGAGTGGTATTTTTATTCCCATTTCCATTTCCTTCACTGGAAAAAGTGAAAAGCCTTGGAGACAACCTGGACTTGAAAGCAGATCTCAGTTCAAATTTTGTTCTTCTGCATAGAGACCTTAGGTGAGCTTGTCTCAGCCTTGATCTTTTCAATAGAAAAATGCTGTGCTGCTTCTGTGAAGAATGGTCAAAGGAGTAGAAATTGTATGACATTCGTTTATAGAACAAATGATTAAGAACCAGTAAGTGGTTTTTTGAAAGTTTTTGGTCATAGGGAGCAGTCTAGAGAAGGGGAGAAAGGGCAGCTTTCCAGATTTGCATTACTCTCATTAAGACAAATACTTCATCTCTCTTAGTCATMGCTTCCTTATCTCTGAGATGAAATTGTAATACCACCTCACAGTGTTGTAACAATTGGAGCTGAAGTATGTCAAATGCCTCTCCTTTGCCTCTACCTAGACATTTTCACGAAGGGAGAGAAGGACAGGATGATGGTACAAGAGGGAAACAAACAAGTCTGGAAAGTGGTTATAAGTTTTTGCTGTATTCTTTTTCCCTGTGGTTTTCTGGACTAATCACATAACCTAACACCTCAACTTCTTCATCTGCAAAAATGTTTTATGGTAGGTCAAATCTTGTCTGTTTTTTTTTTTTTTCCCATCCCAGTACTTCCCAGTTTAAAAGTACTTCCTTGCGTAGAACAAATCCACTAGTATTATTCTAGATGACTCTGAAGCAAAAATCTCGGTACAGAGGAAATCATTAATTGAGGCAAATAATGATAATAATATTAAGAGAGCAGGAACTATGAGTTTCCCTCCTCCAAAGGAAAAAAGATTGTTTGTAATGTCTGCTCACTCTTTCCTGGGCAGAATCTCTGAGAGTGGAATCTTGGAGAATTTTGTAGTCAGATGGCTATGTTTTAGACAGAGTTTTCTGTTTCAGGAGATTGGTGGGGAGGCCCTAGAATTTGCATTTCTAAAAAGTTCAGGGATGAATCCTCAAATATGTCCAGGTTAAAAGGCTGCCTCACAGAGATTGTAGCCATACCACATAGCAAGAAAGCCTCAGACATCCTAACCCTCAAGCCTGAAACCAAAAGATGGAAATCATGGTGGGCAGAACAATTCAGATTCCTGTGGGACCAGTGATTTGAGGACTTAATGTCTCTCACTTCTCTTCTGGATCCTTAAGATCATTCCAACCTAGGCACAGCCTCAAGGTAAAGGGGAGGGTCTCATATTGAGAAGATTGATATCTCTGCAGCAGAAAATAGGCTTCAAAGAGAAGGAAGGTTCTGTTATAGGAAAAAAAAGTTTCTTACACATCTGAGTTTGTAGACTGAAGTTTATTCATATTACCTGCCAGTTTTAGATAGTAACCAGAAGTCACTCTACACTTGAAGCTAAGCATTGTGAGAATTTTCACTTCATTCAAAGATGGTCAGGTTTTATTTACATTTTTATTGGGTAGCTATAGATGACAAGAACAAAACTAAGGGGAACCAACCCTTAGCTCCCTGGAATCATCGCCTCACTAGCTGGTAAGTTCCTCTAGGGCAAGTTCCCTGCATTTCCTCTGAATCCTTCACCTGGCTCACTAGCATCATCCTGCTTGTACTTAGTAAGTACTCAGTAAATAACTGTGGAGTTGTTACAGTGCTGAGGCCTTCCAGGAAGCTGAGGCAGCATGAAGGCTCCCCTTCAAACACCGACTGATTCTTATAATCAAGTCAAAGATTTCAGACAATTTGCTCAGTTATAGGCCTGAGTTTATTAGAAGGGATGGGAAAGGGGAAAGGGGACACACTCAAAGGTGAGAGTGGGTMTTCTCAGAAAGGAGGGGACAGTGTATCCCCCGTCCTACAGTTTATTAGGAATCCTAGGGAAGTTTCCAGAGAATTCAGATCAGCTCCACCTCTTGACTTTCGACCGACAGCAGGATGACATCAGACATTCAAGTCCCCACTGCCACTACAACTCTAGGTCACTTTGGCCCAACTTGACTGGTTCTAACTGGAACCTCTTCTTACAGATTTTATTATTCTAGGGGGCATCATCCTTATCGTATCCTTATCAGATTTGGTCTATGAAAGGGTTGTAAAGGTCTCCCTCTTCTGGGTAACTTGTGTTCCTCTTATCAACATTATTTTGGCTTACATTTCTCCTGTAGATAACAAGTAGTTTTCTGTGGAATGTGACATGTCCTGTCCACTTGAGCCAGGCAAGGCTGCAGGTAAATTGCCTTTTAAAAGTGAAAGCAGTAGACCCATTTTATAGAATTATTCTCTTAACTTCATGTTCCCACCACTCATGTGTCTGTTCACTATAAGAATGAATAAGTCATGAACAAAATGTATACCAAGAACTTAGGGGGCTGATGCCTGTTGCTYGTGTAATATGGAAGATATTATGTCACACATATCATTATTCAGAAATATATCTGAACTTAAATTAAGGGGCTTTAAAGTGAAGGGAACAATTTAAGGGATTCTTCACATTTTGGACTTGTGTTTTTTGCTATTTAAAACAACAATCATATTTTTTGATTATTGTCATTGCTCATTCCTTTTACAATCAGGGTACAATAAAGATGTGCTTACTCAGCTCCTCGCTTTCTTACAAACCCAGTACAGGCTGCTATGATAAAATACTATAGATTGGGTGGCTTATAAGCAACAGAAATGTATTGTTCAGACTTCTGAAGGTGGGAAGTCCAAGGTGCTGGCAGATTCAGTATCTGGTGAAGGCCCGTTCCTCATAAATGCATTCTTGTAACTGCATCCTCATGTGGTGGAAGGGGCCAACAGACTCTCTTAGACTTCTTCTATAGGACATAAATCCCATTCATGAGGGCTCTACCCTTAATACTGTCACATTGGGGAGTTGGTTTCCACATGCATTTGGGGGACACACAAGCATTCATATTATGGCACTCRTGTCACAGGTCACCTCTTTATCTTGGGGTTCTCCAGCACAGTGCCTGCCACACGATGCAAGAACAGTAAGTGCTGCATGAACAGAATGAATGAACCTTTCCTGATCCTCAGGCACTTCCCAACTGAGCAATGGGGCAACAGGGCCTCTAGTGCACTTTTTTTTCCCCTTTTTGATCTGGCTGGTGGGTGGGCAGAGGGAAGGGAGGTGGTTCTCCCACATGTCCTCTTAATTTAGTGGTTCTCAAAATCAATCATTAGAATCCCCTGGAGTTCTTGTATAAACAGTATTATGGGCTCTAACTCCAGAGTTTTTTATTTCATAAGTTTGGAGTACAGGCACAGGAATTTGCATTTCTAACAGTTCAAAGGTGGTGATGTTACTGTTGGCTAGCAGCTATACTTTATAAGCTGCCTCACTAAGTTCATCCACCTAAGGACAGAGACTTTCTTCCTCAATTCAGTATGTTCTCCAGCCTCTGGCATAGTATGGGACATGTAGGAGCTGCTCAGAAAATAGCTGATTTGAGTAACAGTTCAAAAAGTTTATTTTACTGAAGCTAGATTTCAAGTACGTGTGTCTGTATGATTAAGTCAGTACTGTACACGTAAAAGTTCTTAAAACCTGACAGCTAGGGTCTGGGAAGTGGTAGAGCATTTAATTAGCATGCATGAGGCCTTGACTTCTATCCTAGCATGCATGAGGCCTTGACTTCTATCCTAGCATGCATGAGGCCTTGACTTCTATCCTAACACACTCCACCCCCTAAAAAAGAAAACATGGCATGTAATAACCTTTGTTGTTTTTTTTTTTTAAATCATAAGTGTAACTTCTAAAATGATATCCATCCAAACTTGACATGTGCTTTTTGGAGTACTTTACATGAGAATAACACAATCTGCATTAAAGGCTTCTTTGAGGCTAGTTGTATAACTCAGTGTAGAGGGTGTGCTTAGCATGTGCCAGGCCTTATGTTCAATTCCCAGTATCAAAACAAACAAAAAAGTCCTTTTAAAGATAATTTAGTTCATCATTATTGACCATCAATAATTTTAAAAACTTGGTTGAGAGCTATATTCAGAAAGATACAGCAGAGAATCTGGTAGACACATTCTTTGCCTTCCTGAGCTTATGCCCAGTGAGAAAGTAAGGCCTGCAAAGTGCATTTATTGAGGATGTTACATTTTGAAAGTAGACAGCAAGTATTATAGCGTCTAGTTATATCTACGAAACTCTTAATCTTCATCTTCTATTAGAACATATCTTTTTCACCTTCTATAAAATACTGAATGTATTTGGTATGGGCCCTGGGTCATTCATAAATATTAAAAACTGAAGTTAATACTCCTTTGAAAATGATATGATTAATATTTGTTTTTAAATATAACCAACAGAAATAACAGGATTAATTTAGAATTAGCTGATGCAGATAATTTGCACATTTATGGTCCAGGCATTTATATATAACTGCCAGTCATTTGAGACATGGACTTCTCAGCAAGTTCCAGTAAGAACAGATGTTTCTAGACAGAATAACGTGCCCACATAGAGCTTGCCATTTTCAGAATCCTGTGGTAAATCCTTTCATAGTGGAGATAATTTTTTCTGAATTATCTTGTTAGCATACATTTTCACTCCTAAATCATCCAAACTGGGACACAAAGTTCGCTTCATAATCTATTCAATCACTAAAACTTAATTTTACATTAAAAAAATTACTGTCAGTTGAATTCTAGGTTCTTGTTTTTGCTGTTCCTTACCTAGCATGGGGTTTGAGACAAGTCATTTACCTCTCTTTGTGAAAGTGGGGAAATCGAAGTTCCTGCTCATAAGGGTATAGTAAAAGGTATAAGAAATAAATTGCTCTAAAGTACTTAATTCAGTGTCTGGCAATCTGTAGGAGTCACCTCTGCAACTAGTCTTGTGCAGGGGTGTCTTGTGGCATGAGAAAACACGAAAATACAAAAGGACAAATGTAGATTCTAGGCCACGCAGAGCCAGTGATAAGTGGATGACAAGTCACTTGAGTGAGCCTGGGTAAAAAGCAGAGCTTCAGCTGGGTTCAGTCTGGTGCCGTCCAGCTCCCAGGCGCCATTCAATGCTGGCATCTTTTCACCACCATTCACCCTTGAAACCCAAATGCTGGTCAAAACTGCAGATTCTTCCAGTTGGAGGCTGAGCCAGGGACACTGGTTCCACTGAGTCAGAACTGCAGCACTGTCAGTGGATGGGACTTGTGTGTGCCCATGAAGTCACACTAGGGAAAGGGGTGGAGAATAGGTCCCAGGAGGAAGATTAATTCTTGATTCTTTAATTTGGGTTTTTATTCTTTTTTCATCCTTTGAAACAGAAGACCACAGAGTGGAATACAGTATCTGCCTCCCGCTTGTTTTGTGGATGACATCTTTGTGTCACAGTCCAAGGGACTGGAAGAAAGTCTAAGCCGCGGGTTACCCACTGATTCTAAAAAGTCTGGGAAAAAATCACAGGGGAAATTTGCCTTTCTACGAGTTAGCACTGACAATTCTGGAGGGAGCTTTCGAATTCTTTCATCGTGAAATTAGATTTCTAAGAGGAGTTCCTGGATTCCTGGGAACCTAAGATTTTTCGTTGTATCTTAACCCCCCAAAATAGCAATTAATAGACTCAAAGCAGCAGCAAAACTGCCCCAGAACTCCCTCTTTAAATCCCCATAAGTAAGAATATCACTCCAGCATCCTCCTCCCAGAGAATTCCCTGGGTCCCGGGCCAGGGCCAGGGGAGGGCCTGGGGACCGGTGGCTGAGCCCAACAGCGCCCTTCAGCCCAGTGGGCGGCCGCCTGCGAGTCGGCTCCGGGCCTGCTCTCGGCGGCGGCGGGTGAAGCGCTCCCCGGGAGCCCGCCACCCAGCCGTCCACCCGCGCGCAGGTACATCCCGGGCGCGTCCGCCCAGCCCGGCGCCGCTCCGGTGTGGACGGTGGCGAGCGCCGGGGCCGGGGTGTGGGCCCGAGCTGCCCGCGCCGGTGGGGGAGGAGAAGCGGCGACTCCGGCCGCGCAGCCGGGGCCGGTGCGGACTGCGCGTCGCCGGCGCATGAGCGCCGCCGGGCCCGGGTCGCCCCGCCGGGCGGGAGCCGTGGTGGCTGGGGCCGGGGGCCGCGGGGGCCGCAGCTCGCGGGCCGCGGCCTGGGCCGGGAGCGCCAGGSGGGCCCGCAGGCGGCCGGGCGCGGGCACCGCGAGCTCCCGCCCTCCGCGGCGCCGGGCGGCCGGGCCACGTGACGGGAAGCGGCGGCGGCGGCGGCGGCGGGGCCGAGCAGCCCTGGAGCCGCGGGCCGGAGCGGGCGGCGGGCCCCAGGCCGGGGGCGGCGCGGACGGCGGGCGCGGGCCTCGGTGAGCGCGGAGGGCGGCGGCGGGCGCCGGGCTGCGCGGGCAGCAGGGGCCGTGGGGCGCGCTGGAGGGTGAGCGCTGCGTGCGCGCTCCGCTCGGGCAGGTGTAGTGGGACGGGAACGCTGGGGACGCGGAGCGAGGGTCTGCAGGGTAGAGCAGGTGTGCAGCTGTGGGTTGGAGCCCGGTGTCCAGTTTGGGGGTCCGGCGTGCTCGCTGGGGGAGCCACTGGATGTTCCCGTGTTTGTGGGATGGGACGGGTGTGCAAGAGTGCGGGGTCAGCTAGTGTGTGTGTGTGTGTGTGTGTGTGTGTGTGTGTGTAGAAGGTGGAGGTAGATCTGGTGCACCTCGTCCTTGACTTGTGTTTCTGGGCACAGGGATCTGGAAGGACTGTCCCCCTGTGCCTCTGGAGCCTCCACCTCTGATCTGAATGGTTTGAACGCTGTAATTGAGGTTTCCCTGACCCCCTTACATCTGAGAGCTAAAGTTTGGGGTCACAGGGCCTGAATTGTTGTCCTGAACTGGGAGATTAGGCGGGGGCATGTTGAGCAGAGAAAGAGGCCTCTCGTGGGGTTCCTGATCCCTGTCTTTGACATCAGATTGAGGGCTGGAAGGTGCACCCTATGGGATTTTCTCTTTCCAGTGCCTTCCAGAGGGACAGGGGGGAGTTGGTGGCTTGCCTCTGTATGTTACATGGGTTGACTTTAAAGACTGATCCTGTCCAGTTTTCTGCTCCCACTGTAGTTTCTGCTTCAAGAAGCCTATCTCCCAGGCCGCTCTGGGACCCTTCCTAGACCTGCTGGAAATGGGCTTCCCACAGGCAAAGAGACCACATTGGGCGCTGTGGTCTTAGTGGGGTTCAATCACTGATGCCCTGGGTAGCCACCTGGTTCGACAGGAAGGAAGGCAGAATTGGGTGTGATTGTGGTTGGTGATAAGTTAAGGCACTGAGAAGGTGTGCAGGGAGGATCCTGATGCAGCATGAGCTGGTTGGCTGCATGGTGCCCGCTACTCGGTAGTAGTGGTGGACATACTTCTCTTTTTTAGTCAGCAGAGCTGGTAGATAACTGCATACTCCAGCTCCATGGGCACATAGGAAGGAGCATTTGGCCAGCTGCTTCCTTTTCTTTTTCCTTCTATTTCTGCCAGGCAAGCAACCTCCACAGTTGTAGCAGCAGCCTCTTTGGTGTGTAACAAAAGACAGCCTAGGATACTAATGGAACCCCCTGGAACCTATTCACAACCAGCTTTTCCCAGGCCCCATTTCATCTACGGCATGGGTCTGAAGGCCATAGCCATGATGAGTGTAGGCTGTGGGTTCAATTCCCAGCTGTGGCCCTTGGGCAATTTGCTGCACATTTTGATTTCCTCAACTAAATAGGGTTACTATTACAAAAGGTGCATGGAGTCTAATAGGAAAGTGTGCATGAAAAGCATCTGACACAGGGCCTGGCACTTAATAAATGCACAATAAATCACTGTTAATAAATATAAATGAGAGTGTAGGGCCATATCTCTGTCAGTTCTGAAAATGTATGGTTTTATGCTATGAGTAGTTATTAACCCAATGACTGCTTTATTCTGGAGTTAGACCCATTGTGAATTCTGAATTCCAATTTGCTGTACACATCAAGACATGCATTTCAAATTCACTTGGATAAGAAGCATGGTAACAGTCCTGACTTCCTTCACTCACACCTGTCGTAGAGTTGGGGACAGAGCTGTTCACCACTGCAGGCTCCCAAAGCAGAACCAACCTTGTCCTAAACCTTTCAGAGAAAGGTATTTGAATGGGGTCTGTTCCTCCTGTAGACAGCTCCAAGTGAGGAGTTTTAAAAAGCATAGACTCACTGTCTTGAAAGTGCTGTATTTTCTAGGGTTGATATACAACTAGCATTTCTGTTCACTAAAAGAGAGAGAGAGAGAGAGAGAGAGAGAGAGAGAGAGAGAGAGAGAAAGAGAGAGAGAGAGAGAGAGAGAGAAGGAAGTTATTGTGCCTTATTCTTTCATGCTAATCTTAAAAATTTGTGATCCTTTAAGAAAACTCGAGGAAATTTTGCTTAATGGGTTGAGTGTCTTCATCTTGGTCAGAATCCAGTCCTCATTAGAAATACATTAAAGTAATCATTTGTGGTAGCCAGGTGTTTGGATTCTGCTGAATAATTTGGCTCATACTTTAGAACTTGTCTCCTCAGTGGCAAATCTGACCCGGTTATTTATGCTTATATTTATATATATATATATATATATATATTTATATAAATATAAATATATATTTATATAATATAAATTTTATATATATATATATATATATATGAAAGTTTTATATATATATATACTAAATGTAGAAGTAACACCTTAATTCGAGGCTACCCTAAATAAAAAGATTGAATGCTTCCTGCAAAATGTATTCAGAAATCATACTGATGATTTGAGATCAAAATATTTTTCTCATAGTCAAGTAGCTGTTGTTGAATCTTTAAAGATTCAAGAAAAGTAATGTTTGTCAACGAGGACAACTGCCTACATCCCATAGGCAAGTGATAATTTTTCATTACCGTTGAAAAGTTTTCTGTTGAAGAAGTTGTTATCAAGTAAATGCCTTAGAAACCCCTATTCCCATTCTACTCCTTTCTCATTTCCTTCCTCCCCTCCCCAATTCCCTTTTTCAGTTGTGTTATGGTTTGGATCTTATCTACCCAAGGGCCATATGCTAAAGGTTTGATCACCAGCCAGTGGCACTGTTGAGGGTGGTAAAACCCAGTGGAAAGAAATGATGTCATTTCCCAATGATCTCACTGGGGATGTGGCTTTGAAGGAGGCATTGGGACCCCAGCCCCTACCTCTCTCTTGCTCCATGGCTGCCATGAGAACACTCCCTGCCTTGCCACAGGCCCCAAAACAAGGGAGTCAAGCAACCACACACCTCTGACACCATGAGCCAAAACAAATCTTTCCCTCCTTTTAAGTTGATTTTCTCAGGTACATTGTCACAATAACAGACAGTTGACTAGCACAAGTTGTAACTGTTAATGATACTCTTATTCTATATGATGTACATTTATATCTATATACACATATAATATGCATACATGTACACACACCATACACATATGGTGTGTACATACCACATATGGTATGTGTATATGGTGTGCATATATATGTATAGATACCAAAATCCTCAGAGGCTAAGTCTCTTATACAAAATGATGTAGTGTTTGCATATAACCTATGCACACCCTCCTTTATACTTTAAATCATCTATGGATTATTTATAATACCTAATGCAACATAAATGCTGTCAATTAGTTGTTATATGTATTATTTAGGTAATAATAACCAAAAAAAGTCTATACAAAATTTTTTTTCCAAATATTTTCAATCTGCAGTTGGTTGAATGCACAGATGTGGACCCACAGATAAGAGGGCTTGATTATTATTGCCCAGGCAAAAGGACATCAACTGTGAATAGTTACATATAGGTATACAGCAGGACAACATTATCAAGATGACAAATCAGAGCTTAGCTGTGTCTCTTTCTTTCTTTTGAGCTCCTTTAGGTCATTGAAACAGGCCCATTTTGTTGTGACTAATCCTTTGCTTTCTTCTTAATTTTCAAAAAGGGGGAAATTTGCCCTTGGTACAAATCAGTGAATTTGTTGCTGACTCCTAGCAAATTTCATGATTGAGTCATAAACAGACGGCTGTGGGTACTTAGAGAGCACATGGCCAGCCTGGGGTACCGTTCAGTAAAAACAATTTATGTGGGCTGGGGATGTGGCTCAAGTGGTAGCGCACTCGCCTGGCATGCGTGCGGCCTGGGTTCAATCCTCAGCACCACATACCAACAAAGATGTTGTGTCCGCCAA